CCCGGCCCCCCCCCCCCCCCCGTCCCCCCCACACACACTCGGCACACATACACGCCCCGCCCGAGGAAGGCTGCCTTTGCCCTGCCTTGCGAGCCACCACACACAGGCGCCCACCTGCACGCCCTGTGTGGCGGCCAGCGCATCGCGGTCCAGCATGGCGCCGCCCGCATCCTCGGTCAGCTGGGCCTGGTAGGGATCGAACGACAGCTGGTACGACTCGCCTGCAGAGAGCAAGGGGGGCAGGGCAGCATTTAAGGAAGTGGTGCGGACGCATCAGGTTCCAGGAATGCCGACATGATGAGGGCCTGAACGCAGCAGTGCGGACCAATGCTCTCATTCACTCGCTCGCTTCCTCCCTGAACCACTCCTCCAGGCCGCCCTACGCCTTATCCAACCAACCGCTCACCCATGCCAGGGTACTCAAAATGCTGCGCCCAGGCCACCACCGGCTTGTCGGCGGCGGCGCTGGTGGCGGCAGCCTGCACGCAGTGGAGTGACAGCAAGTCGTGAGCATCCATCCATCCATCCATCCATCCATCCATCCATCCATCCATCCATCCATCCATCCATCCATCCATCCATCCATCCATCCATCCATCGTGGCGGGCGCGTCGCAGTGTTTTTGCGAGACCAGCGACTGGCACTGTGCTCCTCTTCACACCATGCACCTGAACCCCATTTGCCACCAGCTTCCCCACACTCACTTCACCATCACGCACTTACACCCCGCCCACCTTGGTTGCCTCGTACTCGCCCTTGACTCCCTCAAAGACGTCGCTGGCCTCCTTCTCCCGGTTGAAGAACAGGCCCACAAACTTGATCCACTCGGCACGGTTGAGCGCGCCTGCAGCAGGGGCGGGCGGGGGGGCACTGCTGCCTTGGCACAATCTGCCAGCCCGCGGCCGCCATCAGACTGCACACTCACCACAGCATTCAGGCGGCCACTGCACACCACGCACCCGGGTCCAGCGCCGCGCTTAGCGCAAAGCTCTTGGCGAAAGGGTTGGCGGAAGAGCTGAGCATGCCGTCCACAGAGCCGCCGATCGCCTCCTCCAGCAGCGTGGAATTGCTGCGGGGCGAAACAAGTGGAGGGTCAGCAAGGTGGCAGGGGGTGCACATGACAGCCTTGCCTCCCCATCCCTCACAAAGCCCTCCTCACCCATCCACCATTGACTTTACCATCTTCCCACCCATCATACAAGTCACGCCACCAACCAACTTTCCACCACCCACACAAGCCCACCTCAGGTCCATGAAATCAGGGGAGGCGCGGTTGCCGGTGGGGCAGGCCAGCAGGGCCTGGCCGCAGGGCGACACAACGTACTCAGACACGTCGTGCACGCGGTCAGTCAGGCCAAGCAGCTCCTGCAGGCGGGAGGGGCCAGGAGACAGGAAGGACGATTGAAGAGAGAGCGTGGATGTGGGGCTGGCGGGACAGGGGCTTGGGATGTGGGGCCCAGGGCGGCAGCGGGAGCTGCAGCAGCAGCTCGACCTGCATGCACCATCTTGCCGATCCCACTGCCGTGCAACTGCCCACCATTCTCCTGCCTGCCCTGCTCACCACAAAGGAGTAGGGCACCGTCTCTGGCGCGGAGATGGAGGTGAGGGGCACCCGGAAGAACTTGGTGCCCTCGGGAAAGTCGGCTTCTGGGGGCGCATCGGCGCCGCACTGGAACAGCACATACACCTCGTCGGCGATGGTGTTGTTCACCACCTGCAATCAATGAGGGTGAAGAGGGATGCAGGATGGGGGATGGGAGAAGAGGGGCGAGTCAAGAGGCAGATGGGAGGGTTTGGAGGGCATTGGCGGGAGGCTGGGGAGCCGTCAAAAAGCACCGCTAGAGCAGGCGGCTCGGCCCCTGCTGCATGAGGGGGAAGAGCAGCAGCATGCGTCTGCCTGCCTTGTAGGTGGGGTGATAGGTGACGGTGAAACCCAGGGCAGATGTGATCTGCACAGGGGGGGGTTGAGCGGTAGGGGTGGGAGCCGGCAAGCGATCCTGGTAATGTAGTGGGGGCCCACTGCCGCCAGCGGCTAGCGGCACTGCTGCTGCTGCGCATGCATGCCCATTCAACAGCCGATGTGGTGTGGACAGGCATGGATAACCAGGGCAGGCTCACAAGCGAGCGGCAGTGCATGCGCCATCGCTGCTCCGACTTGGCGCAGCAGTGGTGGCAGGGCGCTATTGGCGCGGCCCGCCATAGGGCTTGCCTGTGTGGTGAAGTCATCGGTGACCTGCTCGTCGCCCACCAGCCTGTACTGGTCAGGGTAGAGCTGCACGCCATCGCTGCTGCCATCCATCTCAATGCAGTCGCCATTGATCGGGCGCTGGTACAGGGGCACCGCACGCACCGCGCAGGCCCAAAGAAGCGCCAGGAGCGCCGTCAGGGCCCGGGTGCACATGGTGGTGGGGTTTGGTGGTGGGGAGGCGCGTGCAGATTGAGCGGCTGGCACAATGCAGCCTAGGGATCACCGCGTGCCGATGCTGCGATCGCGGGATTGATGGCGGCGCGATTTCGCGTGCTGGCTTCCCGAGGTACATATGTACCTCGGACTGGCCGTCCGCCCACAGAATGGACCTCTGCCGCCCATCCAGCACGGCTCGGGAGTGCTAGGTGGTACCTCAGGTGCGTGGACCGGGGCTGGGCGACCTCCTGCACCCCTGCATGCGCTGCTATATGTTTGCTGGGCCCAGGCGCTCACAGCTTCTGTGCTCATCCCCCCTTGCAGCTCCCACCATGAACGGACACCCTGAGGACAGGTGCGTGTGCCTGCGGGCCTGCAGATGCACCTTATCTGGGTGACTGGCCTCCAGGCACTCACATTGCCTCTCCCTGCCCTGCTTCAGCGAAGAGGAGGTGTATCTATCCGAGCCGGAGTCCACCGGCGAGCTCGAGGACGTCAAAACCGACGACGTGAGTGGCGGCGCTGCTGGCGGCGCCCGCGGCGGCCTCCCAGCCGCAGCCAAACCTGTGCCTGGCAGCAGGAGCTGTTGGTCATGTGACGAGTGGGCCGACGCCTATTTACGGCGTGTAGTATGGTGGTCAAGCTGGAACGGAGAGGGGATGCTGGAAAACCCGGCTAGTGAAAAGCTAAGATGCCGTGGGGGCTTGTGCATTCCCACGCACATGCATGCGTGTGCCTGAGCCCTGTGTGCTGCAGGACTACGAATACAACGAGGTGGAAGAGGAGAGCGAGGGAGAGGAGGCATACAGAGACGCACTGAGCCAGGGTGAGGGCTTCCTTGTGGCGGCATGTTCGCTGCGTTGGTGGCCTTCCAGGGGTCGTGCACCGTTGCCATTGTTGTTTGAGGGCAGAGGGCAGCCAGATCAGTGCTGTAGCTGCGGCAGCCTGACGTGTGCCATGCGGCTCTGATGTGCGGTACCTATTATGTGAGTGTGTCTGTGTGCTGCTGCCGCCGCTGCTCCCCTGCAGGCCACAGCGCAGCGGGTTCCCCCTCCACCGCCAGCAGGCTGCCCTTTGACATAGGCTCCATCTTCAGGCGCGCGGCCGCAGCAGACGACGACGGAGCGGCAGCGGCACCCGCGGCGGGCCCGCCTCAAGACGACGACAGCCTCGCGGCCTCGGTTGCTGCCAACGCAGTTGCAGCGGCAGTTGCGGCCAACACCCCCAGCGTAACACAGCCAGAGGCTCCCAGGGGCCTCCCAAGCCTGCCACCCAGAGGCGGCCCGACACCACCCAGGGGCGGACTCGGCGTGCTTCCACCCCGTGGCGGCTTGGGCGCTGCCCTGCCTCCACGCCGCTCACCAGACACAGCATCCACCGGCGAGGCTGGAGCACCCCCTGCCGCAGCACCAGCCGCAGCCCCGCAGCCACCCTCAGGTGGCCCTGTCCTGCCACCCCGCCCCGCTCCCTCCGCGGGCGCTGCACCAAGCCCCATGCTTTTCCGCCGCCAGCAGCCGGCCGCACAGAATGGCGAGGCCGCAGCTGCGGTGGCGCCGCCGCCGCCGCCGCCCTCCTCGGTGCTGGATGGTACTGAGACGGACAAAGCAGCCAAGGTGAAGCTGGCAGTACAGAAGTTCCGTACCGACATCTACCGTATCGCGCTGCGCATGAAGGTGTGTGTGGGATCTCCCTGGGGGCCTGCTGCTGCCCTTGTTGCATGTCACCCCTTGCGTGTGTCAGCAGGCAGGCTGCCAAGGCTCGCATGCACGGTTGCCATTGGCCGCGCTCCCCTTCGCGCTGCCGCTCCCAAGCTGAGCCATTATCTACACCCTGCCTGCCCTCCCTCGTTGCCCAACTTCCTCCCCTCCTCCCACTTTTTCCCCTTGGTGCAGTACCCCACCCGCGCTTCGGTGATGCAGCAGATGATGTACCGCCTGGGCATGGCTGAGCGCATCCACCTGGGCACTGCAGCCGGCCCGCAGCGCGGCATTGAGGACCTGGCGCAGATGGGTGGGTGTGGCTCGCCAGGGTAGAGTGGCTGGCTGGGGACCGCGGTCGTGCCAGACACGCGGGGAGGGTGGAAGGCTCGCAATGCCAGGGCCGTGTACATGGGCTCCACATGCCATGCCTGCCTGTACCAACCGCCAACCGCCTCTCCCGCTTCCCTCCCCTGGACCCCGCCTCAGAGGCGGAGCGCGCCGAGGTGACGCACCAGCCCCCGCTGGACTTTGGGTGCACCATCATGGTGCTGGGCCTGCAGGGGACAGGCAAGACCGCCACCATCCACTCGCTGCTGGGCCGCCCGCAGCCCGTGGGGTACCGCGAGACGAGCAAGGTGCGGTTTCCAGAGGAGGGGCGGTGATGGGGTTGGGCGGAGTGTGTATGTGCGGTGGTGGCGGCGCTGCTGGTGCTGTGTGTGTGCCTGTTTATTTGGTGGTTGCATGGTGGTGATGGTGATTGCATGTGTGTGTTGGAGCGAAAGGAGACGGTCTGTTCAGGCAGCTGATGGGCTGCATCTGGGCTGCGTGGCCGGGGTGTGCAGGTGGAGATCATTCGCGGTGACGTGGCCGGCATCCCCCTCACTTTCATCGACACACCCGGCCTGGAGCCCTCTGCTGGTAAGCACTGCTGCGGTGTTCGATGGGTAGCGGAGTGCTCTCAAAGATGGGGGGCTAGCCAGCTGGCAGGGGAGCATCTTCGGCAAACCTGTGGCATCATCTGGAAATCTTTAGAGGGCTGGTCAAGCCGCCCCGCCTCTCTGGCTGCCTCTGACCCCCTCCCCCTGCTCCCCCCTACCTCCCCCGCTCCTGCACAGGCGCCATCGGCAGCAACCTGCGCCGCCTGCACGCCGCCAAGCGCGCCTTCAACCGCCACAAGCCGCAGGCGGTGCTGTACCTCGACCGCCTGGATGCGGGGCGCCGCGACCTGGCCGACCTCAACGTGCTGCGCTCCATCACCGAGGTCTTTGGCCAGGACATGTGGTTCTCCACCGTGCTGCTGCTGACGCACGGGGGGTCCGCGCCGCCAGACACCAGGCACGCGCTTGCCCCCACCACCACCATACATTATTCTGCGGCCTGCCGCCGCACAGCAGCAGGATCTGTGCATTGCGTGTGGCCAGCGCTGTTCTCCAGTGGCGGCAATGCTTTGCTCCGACACAGCCTTCCTGCACCACACCCACTGCAGCGGGGGGCAGCCCATGACCTTTGAGATGTTCTACCAGCAGCGCGGCCAGCAGGCGCAGAACATGCTGCGCCAGGTGGCGGGGGACCAGAGGTGCGCCCGCCCTTCTGCTTGGTCAGCCTGCGGCCCTTTTTGGCCTTTATGGCTGCCCTTGATCATTAGCTCATTAGCGCATGCCTTCACCTACCCAAGCTCATGCCTTCACCTACCCAAAGTTGCACCTCCACCGGCAAGCTGCACCCTTTCACACGTACACATTGCCTGCCTGCCTTCGCCCCCCCGTTGACCACAGGCTGATGAACCCCATTGCCCTGGCCGAGAACTCGCCCGCCTGCCCTCGCTCGGCGGAGGGAGACCTGGTGCTGCCCAACGGCACGCCCTGGTGCCGCCAGCTGCTCATGCTGCTCTTCACCACAAAGGTTCTCAACGAGGCCAACGCGCTGCTCAAGCCAGGTGGGTGTGCTGCGGGTGGTGCTTCGGAGGAGGGGTGGCAGACATTCGGGGGCCGGCAGGCAGGCGGTCAACAGCTGGTGGCTGACCAGGTCGCTGCGAGAGAGTGAGCCGAGCGCCAGCTGCTTGTCTCCCTGTCTCGCACCCGGCTGCTTGTGTCCCCCCTGAAAACCCTGCCCTCGGACGCCCTCGTGCCTGCGCCCGCCTTCGTGCAGGCGAGGGCCGCGCCGCCGCCGCGCGCATGCAGCCCTTCATGGGCATGAAGGTGCCGCCGCTGGGCTGGCTGCTGTCGCGCCTGGTGGACTTCCGCAGCCCGCGGAAGCCGCCTGAGGATGAGCGGGAGATCAAGCAGGACGACGAGATCCGCAAGCTGCCCTCCAACGAGCAGGCGGTGCAGGTGTGTATGCCAATTGGTTCCAAGTTAGAAGAATGGTTTGTTCCACTGGTTGTGAGTGGTGGTTGTGATTTGGGTGGGGGGTGTCGCTGATTGGGCCACGCGTCTGTGTCCTGCTTGCCTCACACCACTTCCATGCTTGTTGTTGTGTCCACCTCACCCATTACCGCCCCTCTCTCCCTGCAGCTGCGCAAGAAACGCATGTACCTGAAGCAGCGGGCCGAGGAGGCGCGCCAGGACGCCGACGGCACCGTGCCTATCCTAGCGCCCGAGCCCGCGCTGGCGCCCAGCTTCGACCCCGACGTGACTGGCTATCGGTACCGTGTGCTGGAGGACCCCTCTGGCATCATCGCTCGGTGAGCTGGCACGCTGGGCTGGCGTACGTATTCTCGTCATGGGTTGTGTTGGTGGCGTGGGTGGGGGGGGCGCATTTGGGGGCTTTCAGTGGCTGGCCAATGCAGCCCAGCGCAGCAAGCAGGCTCAATGGATCCCAGCGCCGTGCCACCACTCGACTGGGTGGACACGTTAGCCCTGGCCCATCTGACTCGTCCCTACCCGCCCGCTCCCTCCCATGCAGGCCCATTGTGTCTGACGGCGCGGTGGACCACGAGGACGGCATCGACAGCGTGCAGGTGGAGAAGCAGGTGAGGCAGATGAGGCAGACGACAGCAGGATGGCTTGGAAACAGGCAGAGGGGGAAGAGGCGCGGCGGACTGGGGCTGGGCAGGGGACGCAAGCCACCCACAACACAGCTTGGCGCTATGCCTCCTGCCTCCTTCCTGCTGCCAGCAACGCCTTCCATTTGCTCCCTGCCCGCCCACCTGCCCCCGCAGTCCATCCTACGGCCCAAGGGGCAGTACCTGGGCGGCGTGCCGGCTGTGGCCTGGGCCCAGGTGCAGAAGGACAAGAGCCAGTTCACCTTCCAGGGTGCGCCCCGGTGTCGGAGAAGGGCGCTTGTGGCGGTCACCAGGGCTGCCGCCTGCTGCACTTTGGATGCAAGCGCATCATCGGCTACCTCGCATACTCGCCCACCTGCCCACCCCAACTCTTTGTTCCTCCCTTGCCCTCCGCAGGCGAGGCCGAGGGCAGCTACTACCACAGCGGGCGCTGGGTGTCCACCGCCGCCTGCAACGTGCAGACCATTGGGCGCGATGTGCTCTACACCCCCCGCCTGGAGACGCGGCTCAAGACAGGGCGCCGCAACAAGGTGGCCATCGGCGCGCTGTTCTCAAAGCTGGGAGAAGACTACTCGCACCCGTTCAAGGCGAGCGCCTACTAGAGGGGCTGGGCCGTGCAGGGCTGGGCATCCCTGCCCTGACTCCCATCAGGGCAGGGAGGCATGGCCAGCAGGCAGGGCAGGGCGACAGCGTCGGCATTTGCAGGCTTATTGAGTGTGGCAGCGGCAGGAGGGCCAGCCGACCGCTACCCTGAGAGCAGCCGCCACACGCGTGCACACTCCCTTCCTATCCCCGAGCAACGCATCTTGCATACCCATGCACGCACCTTGCCTTCCTTCTTGCCTGCAGCAAGGCGCGCTTGCATATGGGCTCAAGGTCGACGACCGCGTGCGCGTGCTGCCCAACGCCAAGCTGCGCATGTCGCGTGAGTGAAGGAGCCACATGCCGCATGCTGCCTCGACCCTAGCCAGCGCCCCGCTGTCCCCAACGTGCCTTCTCAACTCATCCACACACTCACCACCCCCCTTTCGCTGCCGCACCCTTCCTCCCGCCCCACCCCCCGCAGTGGGACGCATGTACACCAAGGCGGGGCAGGCATACGACCAGGGCACCGCTCTGGCGGCAGACCTCAAGATCAAGCCCTCGGCAGACGAGACTGCACGGGTGAGGCCTGCGGGGGCTGCGCTGTGCTGCACCAAAGCAGAGCTGCGCTGGGCGGCAGCTGCGCCCGGGCCTCGGCCTGTCGTGTGTCTTTTTTTGCTGGCCCCAACCCCCGTGAGCATGTTGCCCGGCCCCCCACCCTCAGCCTGATCCTCAACCTACCCTCACCCCATGCATACACACCACCGCACCACCCCCACCCTGCAGATCCTGATGGGCGGCACCGCGGTGTGGCAGCGCCGCGACGTGGTGGTGGGCGGCAACCTGTCGACTGAGTTCAAGCTGCCCAAGGGCGGCGCGCTGGGCGGCAAGAGCGACACCCTCTGCTCCATGAGCGCGCAGTACAACAACAAGGGCAACGGGCAGGTGAGGGGGGGCGGGCGGCTGATGGAGGGCTGCCGGGGCTTGGGGGTCTTACCTGAGGTGCAGGGGTTGAGAGCCCTGGCCAGCCACATTTGCCAGCACAAGCAGGAAGGGAGGAGGCAGCATACTGACGGCCTGCGGCCTGCTGCTATCTTCCCCTGCAGCTGGTGCTGCGCCTCAACAGCCACGACTACCCTCAGCTGGCGGGCAGCATGGTGGTCCCTGTGCTGGCCTCCCTCTGGCACCGGCTGTTTGGAAAGGACGAGTTCTAGAGGGAGCACCCAGAGCCTAAGCTCGCGTTGGCTGCAACAGCGTGCCATTGCACCGCTGCTGCAGGAACCCAGCTCGCTTTGGTGTTTGCCTCCTACCCTGTCAGACCTTCTCCCTTGCACCTGCGCTCCTGCTCCCCGCTTTCACTCCCCATCCAACACTGTTCTCTGGCAACTTCGCTGTGTGGAGGTCCCGTGCTGCTGCGCAGCCCCAGTAACAGCGCTGACTGGCAGGAAACGGTAGGCTAGGGGCAAAGGCTAGGTGTGGCAGCGGGGCCCAGCCACCAGTTCTCAGCTCGGGGGAGTCGCCATCTCCTCCACTGGATTTACAGGCTCTCGCATTAGATCTTGGGTGGGGTCAGGAGAGAAGTTGCCAATAAGTGGTGTTGCCAAAAGTGGTTGTATGTAGATCAAATAATGGTGGCATTTGCTTGCGATGCGCCGCCGCAGGTACTTCTTCTAGGGGTGTATCGTTCAATCATACTTGCACGTGTAATCGTTGGGAAGCTTTGGGGAACTGTTGCTGTTGGGGAGCTGTTGTTTGGAAAGCTGGGGAGCTTAGATGCTGCATTGCCGGCAGCCGAAGGACTGGCAGGAGTAGTTGAAGCAGGGATAGTCTGATAGTGTCGAGAGATGGAAGCAGGGGACAGAGGAGCGAGCATGTGGTGGTGGCAGGTGGAGGAGACAACTGGGCATGGGAACCAACATCAAAGGAGGCAAAGCAAAGCCTCAGCTGCTGAGCTGGGCATACCAAGTGCCCTCAATCTGGACCTCCGGCGGGTCTTTGGAGCCCATGTCGTCGGAGCCGAACTGGCGGGTCACAAACACGCCGCCCACCTCGCCCGTGGCGGGATCAGCGCGGGAGATGGCAAACAGGGCCTCGCCGCGGGTGGGGTCGGCGCGCTTGAAGTTCTCGCGGTCCAGCTCGGCTGCAAGGGCAGGGCAGGAGCAGGGTAGCAGCAAGGCACGGTGGGGCAGGAGTGCAGCAGCGAGGCATCAGATACCATCTGCAAGAAATGCCAGGCTTTCTGTGTGGAGCGGAAAAGCCTGATTGCTCCACCGGGCACACCCCGACCACGCTGCAACACTGCACTCACTCTGGTTGCCGGCAGCCTGAAGTCCTTTTTGATAGTCCCATCCAGTGGATCCACCGCGGCCCACGGGGTCCATGAAGGTGGCGCCGCGGTAGGCATTCACATCAAACTGGCCGGTGAAGCCGTCCCAGGGGCCCTGCGGCGGGCAGGCAGGGGGACGGTAGAGCAAGTCGCACGGTGGCATTCAGCATGGGGAGGCAGTGCTGGGGTGTGGTGTGGGCAGGAGGGGCTGGTCTGCCACACACAGCGCCGCCCCTCACCTGCGATTTCAGGTTCTTTACCGCAAACATCAGCGGCACTTCCTCTCCCCCGCGCAGCTGCACAATGGGAAGAGGGCGCGAGGGATGAGGGAGTGCTCTTGGCCTGTACGGCACACACCTTGTTGCAATAGAAAGGCACGGAGAGCAGCCAGGCACAACTCGCCTTCACTGTGACGGGCTGGAAGTCGAAGCCATCCTCCTCAGCCAGCGTGACCGTGCCGTCCTTGGCCACGCTGACAGTCCCGGTCATCTGGAGGCAGGGAAATGACTAGTGGTAAGGGTGCAGCCCCACGCTTCGGCCCCGCTGTGGCTGACCCCAGCACAAAAAGAGGTGCACAAGTGGCCACCCTCCAACAGCATGGCGGGCTTGCCTGGTCTAGAGAGTAGGTGTTGCGGGTGAGCAGGGTGGAAGGTTCGAACCTGGTGCCACCCACCGGCTTGACCTGCACACAGGCACGGGTGGCTGGCACGCCGGCATCGACGACCCGACAGGCTTGCCAACGGCTGCCCTGCGTCCCTGGTGTCCCTGGTGTCCCTTCCCGCCAACAGGTTGCGGTACGACTGCCAGCCGGCAGTGCACCTGGAAGCTGTTGGGCTCCATGCAGAACATGTCCATGCGGTAGCTGCCGGGTGGCATGTTGGCCAGGCCGTCGTCGGCAGAGGGGCCCAGAATTGGGCACTGGTTGGCCAGCCCCGACCCCTTCACCTCCTGCGCAGTGGCGGCGAGCAAAACGGGAGCGAAAGAGTGAGGGTACATGCACTTCATGGCTCGGCCCCAGAGCAGGTGGGCGCTGCACCGGTGCTTGCGAAACCAGCTCCCCAGGCCCAAAGTCGGCGAGGATCAGGCTGTTGCCTCTGTGATCCAAGCTGCTCACCCACCTTGTATGTCATGCTCTGAAGCTGATCATAGGTGATGCTGCCAGCGGTGGCGGCCTGCAGGCAGGCGGAAGGACGGGCCGCACGGGTCGGCACGTGAGCGGCCAGAACCGTCATGGGCACCAACCAGGCTGCCCGTTGCTTCTGGTGCTCCAGTTGCAAGCAGGCCTCGCCGGCCACGCACTCACCGAGGCCACGAGCGCGGTGGTGAGGAAGGCAGCGGCGCCGCGGGCGGCCCGCTCCCCCCAGCCGGGCTCGGCAGCGGCATCCGGGCGGGTGGCGGCAAGGCAGCGCACGGCCTGGCGGCGCGGACTGCTGCAAGGCCGATGTGGAGGGGAGATGGGTGTGAGATACAGTTAGGCAGGTGAGGTGCAGTGGGTGAGGTGAGAAGCCTGGCATTGATGACACGAATGATCGCCTCCGGTTGCTGCGTCGCAGTCAGCCCGCCAGGACCTCTGTTCAACCAAGACATCACAGCGGCCCCGCATCTCACCGAGGGCTGTAGGAGAAGGGCTTCGCCCTGAAAGTGGTCGAGGTGGCAGCGGTGCACACCATGGCGACAAAGCAAGAAATAATTCTTTGTCAGCTGCTTTTCGATGCCCGGATGTGAGGAGGGTGCCTGTCAGAGGCAGAAGGGAGGCAGCGAATGGGAGCGGTGGTGGCACACAGCGGGGGCTCGAAGAATGGTGCAAACAGCAATCGCAAGCCCGTTTTATCATCGCATGAGGAGTGTGATTACGTGCACAGGCTACGAGGCATCATGTGAAAAATTTGTGAGGCGATCTCGGGGCAACCAGCGGTGGTTTGGCCATGCAGCGCAGGGGAGGCGGCGACTTCCATTTTCACAGACACCACTGGTACATGCAAGTTCAATGAAAGTGGCAAAGGGTCCCCTGGTGCTGCTGCTGAATTCTCGCCTCATCATCGTTCACCTCACCCGCGCCCTCCCGTCTCTACTACTGGATTCAGACTCTTGAATTGGTACACGCGGGGGATGCAGCCAGGAGCTCCAAACTGTGCCCTGAAGCCAGGCTGGTTGAACGCCGCCACGACACAGATCGTCCTTCTGCACCTTCACATGCGTGGCAAATGCTGCTGTGGGGCTTTACAGAAGCCCAATTCATTCAACGGCATGAAAGATGGCCTATGTCTCCCACAATGGCCTGCCAACACCTGTCCTTGACGTACTCGCACAGGAAGCGAGGGCGCTCAGAGCGCCAGCTTGGCTGCCTTGTCGGCTATGCCATTCACCTCCGCTCCCTCCTTCCACTCTGCCGCCGCTGCTGCTTTCTTGGCCGCATCCTCCTCCCAGGGCGCCGGCACCGACACGCAGTCTGCACCGCCAAGCACTGGCGACCAGCGGAAGGTGGCGGAGCACTGCTGCCGCCACGTGGCCGCCGCGTCTGCCATCTGCAGCTTGCTGGCAAGCAGGTCGTGCACAGCCACGCAATCGGCGTGGCTGCCCCCAGCAGGGCCGGCCGCCAGCAGCCGCTGCACGGCCGCGCCGCGCGCATCAGGCGCCATCACCTCTGCGGCAGCGGCCGCGTGGCGCAGGCCGTTGCCGGCGTGCTGTGCCGCCCACTGCTGCTGGTGGGCGGCGGCCGCAGCTGCTGACACGTCGCTGCTGCCCAGCAGAGCTGCGGTCTCCTCCTGCGCCACCTCTAGCACCACAGCTGGCATGACCGCCGCGCCGTTGCCCGCCTCTGCCTCCGCTGCTGGCGAGGGCGCCGCTGCCACCACGGCGTCCGCCAGGCGGGCCACCATGCTGTGCACGCTTGGATCTGCCTCGCCCGCCACCTGCTGCGCCTTCTTGACCGCCTGCACCGCCAGCAGCAGTTTGCCCTGCCGCAAGTACACCTGCAGCGATGGACGGGCAGGCAGCTCTCGTTCGGGTCATGGTCGAACAGCCTTAAGTCATGCTTTCTGCGCCGTGACTTGAAAGACTTTCTCAGCTCTTCAAGTCAAGACTACAACCACAAACCCAGTCAAGCATTCCGCAAAACCACACGCCAGCCCCCACCTCAAAGCTGAGCTGCTGCACCGCCAGCTTGTCGCTTGCATGCTCCCGCAGGCGCCGCAACAGCTTGGCGGCCTCAGCCAGCGGATCGGCCACGGCGGCCAGCTGCTCGCCATCGGGATCGGCATCCCTGCAGCAGGCGAAGCCCATGCACAGTCAGCAGGGCACTCGAAAGACCCACACGCAGCGCCCGAAGACAGCCTGTGTGTGCACGGGGAATAGCAAGGTGTGTAGAGCCCCTGCCACGCCTCCCCATCCCCTGCTCAGCCCCTGACCCCACCCCTCCCCCTCACTTCTTCTTGCGCTCCTCTCCCTTGTCCCCCTTCTTGGCGGCGGCCGCCGCCGCCTCAACGGCCTCCTTGGCCGCAGCCTCTGCCGCCTCCTTGGCCTTCCGCTGCTCCTCCTTGCGTTTCTTCTGGCGGTACCTGCAGTACAACCATCCAAGGCAGTACATCAGCGACATATCAGCACGGGACATCAGCTGATCTGCTGGACAGTGAGGGCACTCCGGCCCTCCCCACCCTCCTCCTGCCTGGCGCTCCCACCTCTTCTGCTCCTCTGCGCTCATCCCCGCCAGCAGCGCCTCCTCCTCCTGCGCCTGCCCGCCTGCGGGGCGGTCGTGCAGCTGGATGTAAGTGTGGATGGCACCGCTGATGCCCTGCATTGGGAGAACAAAAGGGCGGCGCATGGGGGAGACGGTGAGGCACATTAATGCGCAGTGGGGATGGTGCCACAGAGAAAGACTGCGACGCAGCGCAGGCAGCAGCCGGGCTATTGAACACGCACTGCGTTGCCCGCCGCCTGCTCCGCGGACACAACCACACCAGCAACCCCACAGTGCAAAACATCCACACCACACCCTTCACCAAACGCACCTTGAGGTAGGTGGGTTGGGCAAACAAGCGGTCCTCCATGCGCAGCATGCTCACATACGCGCGCAGCGTCTGCAGCCAGGCAGGCGCAGGCAGGGGAGCGCAGGAAGCGGCAGTTGTGGTGGTCTGGCACACAGACTTCAGCAGTAGCCGCGGTGGCGTCTGGATGACAGCGCTGCCCGTGGAGTTCTATCGGCGCACCATTTTGCGGATGCAGTAGCCGTGGAAGTCGAACTGGTCCTCCTGGAAGTCCTCAAAGTGCTGCTGCACCTTCAGGAAGCGCTTGAGCGCCTGCGAGGTGGGTGGGGGGGAGACGAGGGAGAGCAGGGTCTAAGCGCGATGCGTGTGACAAAGTCGTGGGAGTGCAGGCGCATGGGGCAGCAGCAGGCAGAGCAGCACGAGACTCGCTGCCGTGCATGGCTCCTTGTGTGGGCCATTACCTTGCCGTACTGCTGCTGTGCCAGGTAGGCGCGCCCGCTGCCCACTTCATACCACATGGCCTGCATGGAAGCGTGTGGCGCGGGGCGTGTGGCTGTGTGACGGGAGAATGTGGGAGGATGCCAGCGAGCGTAAGAGATGGCAGCACACAGGGGTGGTGCTGGGCAGGCAGCAAGTCCAGCACCGCAGCCCACCTGCATGTCAAACAGGTTGTTGGCCTGCTCGCCATCCCGTGTGAACAACGCTGCCGTGGACTCCGCCAGCTCAGTCTGCAGGGAGGACGGCACCGGGGCAGCCAGCAGAACCACCTAAATCAGCTCAGCTGCTTAGGCAGGTGCGGAGCACAGCGGCACCAGGGCTAGCGCCCCCCCCCCCCACCCCCCCCACCCTGGTGCGCCCCCACACACAAAAAGTACAAAACCCGCTCACATGTCCTGCGCGGAACAGCGCCTTGACAGCCACGCAATTGAGGTAGCGGTCGGCGAGGTCGAGGCGTCGGGCGGCGTCGGCCACCCGCGCCGCGCTTTCCATATCCCCAGCATGCTTCAGGATCTTGGCCTTCGCCACGTACGCCTCTATGAGTGTGGGCGTGTGCTGCAAAAGCCGGGCGCAAACGCAGCGCAAGCAGAAGAACAGGCAATGGGCGAACTGCCACAGGCATACACAAGAGCGCGAATGTGCAGGGCGTGCCTGAAGCAGGCGTGGCAGCAAAGACGTGCGCTGAGAAGCACACAAAGCCATCACCGTGCATATCGCTGCCCTGTTTCAACCTGCCCACCTCGATGCACTCGTCCACAAGCCGCAGCGCGTCTGACGTGCGACCCAGGCGGTCATGGTGCTGCGCCAGGTAGAATAGCGCCCAGACAAGCGCCTGCGGAGCCGGCTGCTGCTCGCTGCTGCTGCTGCTGCTGCTGCTGCTGTCTTCCTGAAGCGGCGGCAACGTGCCGTTTACCCGCAAGCTGCCAGCCAGCCGCTCGAACAGCTGACCCAGGAGCGCCGCCTTGCTGCTGCTGTTATAAAGAGGCTTCAGGTCTGCAGGCAGTGGCACGACAGGGAGGAGTGGATGCGGGTGTGTAAAAGTAATGTTTGCAGGCAACTAACTGAGAAAACGAACCAGAGGTACTCCAGAGCAGTGCAGGCTTGCACACCTGTGAAGAGGGAGGGGATGCCGCGCAGCAGGTACTTGCGAACATATGAATCCGCCGCCGCGACAAACTCATCGCCCTCCTGCGCGAGGCAGGCAGGCGGGAGGGGAGGGCAGGAGGTTGGCACAGGCAGACGAGGACGTGATGAGGAGTGACAGCACAGGCCTTTAAAAGAAAAGGGACGAGAAGAGGCCATGTGTGCCCGCCCTCTTGCAGCAACACGTGTGAGCAATCCCCATATGCCTTCAACTCTCCCTTCTTTCCTCTCCCCTTCTCCTCCTTCCTGCATCCCAACTCACCAGGAAGTCGAGCGGCATGCGCTTGGCAGCCACGCTGTGCGGGTGCTCCCGCCTCAGCTCAGCATACACACCCGCCAGCCGCGCCCGCTGCTCCTCGCTGAGTGCTGCCTCAGCCTGCTGCTGCCCCCCCGCCGCCTCGCTGCTTCCGTTGGCTGCCGCCGCAGGCAGCCTGAGCGCTGCCTGCAGGCCTGCGTGGTACTGGTAATTTTCCGTGTTGATGGTGATGAGGCGGCGGTAGGCCACCTCAGCCTCCTCCTGCCGCCCCAGCGCCAGCAGCAGCCGTGCCTGCTGCTCCTTCACACCCAGCGGGTCGCGCAGCCGCCGAGCAGCCGTGCCGCTTTCCAAAACTGCCAGCGCGTCCGCGTGCATGCCGCCTGCGCCACCACCAGAGGCAGCAAAACCACGGATCGGCCAGCTGCTAAGCGATCACAATGGTGAGGCAGGCGGCTAACCTTGCTAACACCGCAAAGTAGCCGGCTGCAACTCCCACCCTCTGCCTTGCCTATTCCACCACACTCCATCCCACGATCCCCAGCTGCAACTCGCCTTCCTCCAGCACCATGGCCTTGTACAGTACCATCTCACTGTGCTCATACGCCTCAGACGAATTGCTGCCCGGCCCCTCCTCATCCACCGTGGCTGCGACGGCAGGTACGCGGTAGCAGGAGGCAGGCAGGGCGTGAATCAGCTAAACTCACAGGCACGCAGGCAGGAATCGCCTACTGCCACCTACAGGCTCCTAATGAAGCCTGGAATGGAACACCACCAGAGCAACTGGGCCAACTCAGACAACCTGTAAAGCCCATCTGTGCGCCACTCGAAGCAGCCTCCACCCGCACCTGCGTAGCTCTCCAGCACCTTGGCCGCCACCTCGTGGTGCCCGTTGAGGTGGTGTGCCAGCGCAAACGAGATCCAGTTGTGCTTGTTGTTGGACTTGAGCTCCAGCAGCGTCTGCCGCGTCTCCAGGAAGCCGGGCAGGTCGCGCATCTGGATCTGCAGCAGGGGCAGCGGCAGCATGGGGGGGTGGGGTGGGGGGCATGGGGGGTGTTTACCAGCCCATTCACCCTTCACCACTACATTGCAGCAATCTGCACACCTGCGAAGGCAGCACGTACCCCACCCCACACTCCCCACATCAACACAGCCAACTCAGCACCTGCAGCAGCGCCAGGTCGCGCATGACCGTCAGGTTCTCCTTGTCCATGCGCAGCGCATTCTTGTAGCACTTGATGGCCTCGTCATACTCACGGTCGGAGCGGTACAGCAAGCTGCAGTACAGGGTGCGATACAGGGGGCAGTATGGACATGTGGGGTGCTGGCAACATGAGGGGAAGGCAAACTTGAGGACCTGCTTTGAGCAAATGTGCTGCTGGTCACTGCCCGGCTGCCCTATGCCCCCTGGTACAACCACGTTGTCACAAGGCCGCGCACCCGTACACGTGCCAGCACACATGGCTGCGTAGGTCGTTCTTCACCCCTCGCTTCACCAGCTCGTAAGCCTCCTCCTTGCGCTCCAGGCAGTTGAGCAGCAGGCCCTGCGGCGGCGCATGCGGTGGGCGGCGGGCGGCAGCCAAGGTCGGCCGCAGGCATGGGAGCAAGGTGGATGATCCCTGTTGCCGAATGCATCGCTGGCTCTGCTCCCTCTTGTTGCTGACAGGCGATTTGCATGAGCTAGATGCTACGTTGGTGCTGGGCGCAAGGGGGTGTGCACGGGGTCCAGGCAGCGCTCACACCTTCATGGCCAGCGTCTCGCCGTGCTCCGGAAACTTCTTGAGAATGGCGTCAGCATTCTTGACGCCCTTCTTGTATTGCTTGGTCTGCAGCAGAATGGGCCGGCGGGGAACACAGGTCGGCTGCCGCCGCTGCCGACGCCCGCTGCGACGGTGAGGGGTGCAGGCTGGCAGGCATCGGCGCCGGTCCAATTGAGCAGCCCTAGCTGCACAGGCCCAACCAGAGGCCGTGATTGGGGCCGCATGCCGTGCATTCGCACCTCATACTGCTTCGCCAGCTGCCGAAAGAGGCCCGCCTCCTTGCTGGGCAAGGTTCGGTTGTCTGGCACGGCACCCTTTGAAGCCATCCTATCGCCCTACTCCCAAGCCTGGAGCCATCAACTGTGATGCGGTGAGGGTCACGGGGATGCACACCAGCACAGGGACGATGGGGTCGGCACCGTGTGATCAAGAAGAAGAAGATGTGACCAAACACGGGTGACTCAGGGGGAGAAACGGTGGCAGCGACTTTCCAGAGGAAGCCTGCCGCCACTCCCCCCCCACAGGAGGCTGTCAGACTGGATCTGGAGGGTTCTGAGCTGTCGGCGGCGTCTGTGCATACAGCGATCGTCGCGATGTGCGGATCTGCACGTTGTAAGCGAGGGCACTGCGCACAAGGCGGCGAACCGCTGTTGCCGCCTGGCGGGGCGCAACGCCGCACCGCTCGAGAGCAGCGCGCGCTGTGGAAGTGACCAGGCCCGAGTGGGACACGGCGACAGGGAAGCAGGTGACCTGCCATCCCTGTTGAACCAGGTAATGCATCCAAGAGCTGTGTTGCTCCAGCTTGTCAGCAACTGCCGCCGAAAGGCGGGTGTCGGCGGCATGCGTGACCTCCACGCAGACGAGCACACGCTCCTCAGGGGTGAGCTGGCTGAGTGAGATGGTGTGGGCGCGGTTGGGCTCCATAGCAGGGAGGAACATAATGTCCGGGGTGGTATGGCCCTGGTGTCGGGGGAGAAGGCCTGGCAGGTTGCGAGCGGTGCGGTCGCCCAACTCACTGTCGTGATATAACAAGCGGTCGCCCAGGCCACCAGCAGCAATGGTGTCAACCAGGCACTTGACTGAAGCGCCATGGCGCTTGCACCTGAGGCCGTGAATAACTGGGTGGGCGCAGGCCCCAAAGCAGTGCGGGATCGTCTCCGGCGGCCTATCCTGGCACAGGCCACATGTGGGGTCGGGATGTTTGGTTGGGTACAGGCGGTGGGCGCGCGCCCGGGTGAAGAGCTTGCCCCACCGCAATTGCATTGCCAAGCTGACGTGGTGCCAGGGGAGCGTGGAGGTGATGCCGACCAGCGGCGCAGGGGAAGAGTCAAGTGTGTAAGGCCCCGGTGCCGACCATGTCTGTGGATCCCTGCCAGCCAACGTGGGCGTATCGAATGATGAGCCGGGCAGCTGAGCCAGGTCGGTGCGCTGGTCGTGCAGTCGCTTGCATGCCGCACTACGGGCCGTGTGGCGGGTCAACAAGGCTGCGGATAGGATCGGTTGTATCCACCTGGCAACTTGATGTTTGAGCTCATCAAAGATCCACAGGTCGGGAGCGGCATCCTCATCACCGTCAGGTTTGGACACGGGGTAACGCAGCCAGGAGGCAGCAATGCCGGGGCGGGAAGCCGCCGCATCAGCATGTTGTGTTAGACTCGTATCGCCGCCCGGCAGGGCTCCCTGGAGCTCAACCTCAGCATCCTCCGTGTCGTCCGCACAATGCAAGACAGCGGGCGCAGAGGGCCGGGCTTTTACGAAGGGTGAGCTGGCAGCCAGAGCAGAAACCGAGGCGGGGGCTCCCCGTTCTTTTAACAACGTGTGGAAGCACTCATAGGCCGGATTGCATAACCAGCCACGGCGGTGGGTCTTCAATTCGAGAGACCTTCTGCAGTGGCGTGAAATGTCTGCCGGCTGCGACACGAAGGCCGCCCCAGCGAGCAGCGTGGGATGCAACTGGTCGCAGCGCTGCTGACCTCTCCTGTCGGCCTGGCCGTTCTCCTTCTCTCGCTCTGCGTGGCAATTGGGTGAGCGCGCAGGCCTCACAGGAGCCACCCGCATCTTGAGTGATGCCTGGGTTACTCCCCGGCGCTTGGGGTCCCTCACAAACCCTGCCGGCCGCCGCCGCCACCTTGACCGCCGCCGCCGCCCTCCCGCCTCTCACTGCTGACCGCCCATCTGCTGCTCACCTTGCAGGCTGCCGATCGCCAGCGGCCACCTCCTGTGGCAGCGGTCTGAGGCGCCGGCCTGGTGGCACTCGCACAGCATGGAGAAGGAGGCAGTGAATGGCGGCGGCAGCGGCAGGCTGGTGGGAGGGTCGCGAAGCCCGCCGCCGCTGGGTGCCTGCCAGCAGTGTGGTGCAGAGGACCCCAAAAACCGCTGTGCCGGTTGCTCCAGTGTAGCCTACTGGTGAGTCTCTGCTGCACACCAGCTGCTGTGTTGCTGCTTGTTGCTCCTGGCAAGCTGAACTCTCACCTGCCCCCTACCTGCAGCTCGAGGCAGTGTCAACAGAAGCACTGGGTAGCAGGGCACAAACACGCGTGCAAGAAGCTGAGGAAGCAGCTGCAGCAGGCAGTCAAGCTAGGCACAGCTGCGACTGGTGCCCACGGCAGTGTGCAGACCACCGGTGCAGCAGGTGGCAAGGGCAGCTCGCAGCGGCCAGAGGAGAGCAATAGCTTGCTGCCTGTGCCCAGCAGGGTGCTGTACCCGTGTGAGCGGTATGCAGAGCTGGCGGCAGCGCCCCCGCAGCGCACACAACCTTTGGGCCTGCAGAATGTGGGCAACAGGCGAGTTTGCGCTGGCCTACAGCATCTGTATTGTTCGCCCCCTGCCGGTTAGGCGCCCTCTCCGCTTCGGGACGTAACTCACCCACCGCGCACGGCCCCCTTCTCTCCCTGCTGCAGCTGCTACGCCAACAGCCTGTTGCAGGCGCTGCTGGCGACTCCTCCCCTGGCCGCCTTCTTGGTGTCAGGTAACCTGCCTGTTGGAGACCTCAGCCAACACATGCTGTGACCAAGCCCTCTCACCCACCAGCCCTGGCCCCGGTGCCCCTGCGTGACCTGCAGGGGAGCACAGCAGCGGCTGCCTCAAGCCCTCTGCCAGCCACTGGTGCGTGCTGTGTGAGCTGGAGAAGCTGGCGGTGCAGGCATACGGCGACAGCGCCTCGCGCGGCGTGCTCAACCCGCGCCCGCTGGTGAGTGCGCGGCTGCTGGCGGGCGCCTGCACATCCACAACCGGCCGGACAAATGTCGTGCTGCTGCTGTGGGGCCTGGAATGTATTGTGTTTTGTCAGGGGAGACTCTGCGGCCTGCCTAGCACATGCACTCCCGACTTGCTGTTGCTCGTCCCATCTGTGCAGCTGCGCAACGTCAAGCGGCTGGGCAAGCAGTTTACCTTTGGGCGGCAGGAGGACAGCCACGAGCTGTTCCTGCGGCTGGTGGAAGCGGTGGAGGCGGTGCAGCTGCTGGAGGCGGGTGGCAAGGCGCGGCACGACCTGCGCTCACGGGAGACCTGTCTCATCCACCACGTATTTGGCGGGTACACCCGCAGCCAAGTGAGGCCCACAGGCTGCCATCTAACCACCAGTGGGCCTGCCCTGGGCCTCTGCTGGACCAGCCCACACCGGCACCTGGGTGCCCTCTTGCCACTCGGTTTCCTTGCAACGGACGTGTGCATGCTGTGGCGCAGGTGGAGTGCCGGTCCTGCGGCCACATCAGCCGCGCCTACGAGTGCTGCACCAGCCTGACGCTGGAGGTGTCGGCCCGCATTGCCAGCCTGGAGGCCGCGCTAAGCAGCTTTGCCGCCTCGGAGCGACTGGATGGCGACAACAGGTGCGCTGCGGTGGCAAACGGTTGGGGCGGTGGGGCTCAGCATTGACTGCATCGGGGGCAGCAGGGAAAGCCGTGTGGTTGTGCGGGCCCACCTCCTCAAGCTGTGACTACTGCTGCTGCTCACACGGCTGCGCCGTTCGTACCTCTGTTGCAGGTACAAGTGCGATGGCTGCAAGGCGTATGTGGCGGCAGACAAGAGCACGGCGCTAGAGGTGGCGCCGCACATGCTGCAGATCTGCCTCAAGCGCTTTGCGGTGCGTGCCAGTCCAGGGGTTGGGTGGAGTGAATGAGCAACGATTGCTGTCAGGCTTCCAGGCATCATGTGCTCACCACCTGCCCTACTGCCTGCGTGCAGCCGGGGCGCTTCGGCAAGATCACCAGCCGCCTCAGCTTCCCGGAGCAGCTGGACATGGGGCCCTACATGGCGGCGAGCTGCCTGGATGGCGATCTCGTGCAGTACAGGCTGTACGCCGTGGTGGTGCACATAGACTGGGGCCGCAGCACTGACTATGGTGGGCGAGGTGGAGGGTGGCTTGGTGTGGACAAGCGGGCTCTAGGCTTTACACGTGCTGGCGACTGTGCATGCATCCTCACCCTTCACACCCCTCTTGTGTCTGCCCTGCTGCTCTCCCTCTGTCTCCCTCCCCAGGTCACTACATCGCCTACGTCAGGTGTGGCAGCAGCTGGTTCCAGTGCGATGACTCCTCTGTCACTGCGGTGTCGGCTGCCAAGGTGTTGGCCTCATCTGCCTACCTGCTGTTTTACGAACGCCAGGTTCCACGCCGCATCGTGGCGGTGGGCGAGCGCAGGTGGGTGGTGCCATGCTTTGCCAGCATTGGAACGGGCAGGAGCGCATCGCATTTAGCGCACCTCGTTGTGCTGATTGGCGAATTCTTGGGCGCTGCCCTGCGTGCAGCTGTGCGGCGGAAGACATGGCGGCAGCAGCAGCCGCGGTCGTGGTGACAGCAGATGGCGCGTCGGCGGAAGCTGAGGTCCCCGATGGCGCCGGCGGCAGGCTGGACAGCATGGCACCACCCCCTGAGAGCATTCTGCGTGTTGAGACGGCGCCCGCCTCCCTACCGCACCTGGGCCAGTCCGGGCAAGCGGGCCAGGGGAATGCTGCCGCCTCCAGCCCTGGCAGCTCACCCCATCTCTCGGCTGCCTCCAGCTCCGACCAGCTTTGGCTGGCACGGGAGAAGGAGTGGCAGAGCGACATTGGAATTGGCGTGCCGGAGCGCCTGCATACCTGCGCCTCTGACAGCGACCTGCCGGCCGCTCGGCAGCGCAGCGAGGCGCAGGCGGCAGCCCATGGCGCCAGACCCAGCACGCCGCGGGCTGCTTCACTGGAAGCTGCGGGCGCTGGTGAGCCCGAATTTGCTGCTGCTGTGGCAGCACAGGGGCGGCAGGTGCGGCAGGAGTCGGAGGAGCTAGTGCAAGAGCAGGGGCTGGAGGGGGCAGCCGAGGCTGCTGCTGCTTCTGCCCGGGCAGAGGTGGAGGCTCTGCTGCGGGAGCAGACGGATGAACAGGCCGGCTCGCCATCTGCTGCCTGTTCTGCTGAGTCGAGCAGCACCGAGCTTGGGGCCAGCTCCAACCCGTTCGACCTGTTGGGTGGCGACGAGGGCAGCGACAGCGAATGCGAGAGCGGGACAAGCGACGCAGAGAGTGAGGGCGAGCAGCGAGCAGGAGCAGCCAAGATGGCGCGCCCGGCAGCAGCGCCATCTCAGCGGCGGCAGCAGAAGCAGCAGCAGAAGCACCAGCCGGCAGCTGCTGGCCGCTGTGCCGACACCGAAGCTGCTGCTGAGGTGCTGCAGCATCCGGCATCCGGCACGGAACTGGCAGCGGCAGCAAAGCACCCAGCGGCGCAGGCACAGGAACTGCAACAGGTGGCTGGCAGCAACCGCTGCACCGCAGGGCAGTCGCAGCAGCCGCCAGCATCAGGGACCAGTGCTGCGGCAGGTTTTGCTGAGAAGCCGGCAACAGCTGCAACAACTGCCGCGCCATCGGCGATTCACAAGCAGCACCCACAGCAGCACCCACAGCAGCACCCACAGCCTGCCATCAGCGGCTCTGCACAGCCACCGTCTGCAGCGGCGCCCGATTCCAGGCAGCAGCCCCCTAGCGGCGCGTGCAGCAGCTGCAGCAGTGATGGCCCATGTACTCCCAAGTACCGCGCGTCTGTCAGTGTGAAGAACGGCGGCCAGCGCACGCTGCGCCTGTCGGTGGAGCTTCCTGGGGTGCGGCAGGAGGCTCAGGTGGACTGGCACCTGGCGGAGCTGGGCGGCAGCACCTCTCAGCAGCAGGAGCTCCTGCTGCGAGCGGAGCAGTATGCGCTGCGCCTGCCTCTGCCCGTGCCAGTGGCCGCCAACGCGGCCGCCGCCAAGTGGGCGGCTGCCCGCCACAAGCTCACTGTCACCTGGCCCGCGCTGTGATGCGCCTGCTTGTGTTAATTTTATCAGCTGCGCATTTCCTTGCAATACCCTGTGCGTGAGAGGGCAGAGAAGTGACATGGCGGCACGTCAATTGGAAAGCAGATCATCTGCAGTTGCCCTGGTTGCTCCACCTCAGAGCCCTGCATTCCGCTTTCCTTCCCACAGCCTGCCTCGCATCTCCTGCTCCCAAAGCGAGCGAACAGAGCAGCTAGTCACCATGTCCGTGCAGCTCGAAAGGCATGCCGCAGAGCAGGCGGAGGCCGAGGTGGTGGAGGTTGAGGACTTCCAGGTGCGCTGCTGGGCTGAGCCGAGGCACAGACCCTTGAGGGAAGGCACCAGCGACACAGTTGACCTGCGTGTTGCCCTGCTGCCTCCCTTGAGCAGCCACTGGAGGCGCTGGAGGCGCTGGGCATCAACAAGGGAGACATCAAGAAGGCCCGCGACGCCGGTGCGCGCTGCTCACCCGCGCCCTTCCCTGGCCGCCATGCTGATGCCGTTGGACTGCGGTGCTGAGCAGGCCGCGCCTTCCTACTGCAGGCTTCCACACTTGCGAGGCGATGCTGATGAATACCAAGAAGGTGCGTGCAGATGGGGTGTTCCGCACTCGCTGCAACAGAGCTGACGTGCTTTGCGGTGGCCGTTCAAACGCTCGAGTTCACCGCCGCTGCCCAGCCCACCCCGCGTGCTCCGTGCAGCGCCTGTCGGAGATCAAGGGCCTGTCAGATGCCAAGGTGGAGAAGATGCTGGGTGAGTGCAGCAGAATGGCTCGGCCGCAGCTGCATGCCACCCATCCCCCGGCCTGCCGCACGTGTGGCACTCAGCACCCACAACGCCTGCCGGCACCTCTGCAGAGGCATGCAAGAAGCTGTCCAACAAGTTCGGCTTCCAGACGGCCAAGGAGCTTGAGGCGCAGCGGCAGGCCTCCATAGGTCAGTTGGGGAGCCAGGCATTGCTGACCGCAGTTGTGGGGCAGGTGAACAGGGTGGAGGTGGGATGTGCGGGTGCATCTTGGCACGGTTGTGTCTCCATGCGCCGCCATCTGTGCTTGCCTGTCACCCCGCAGTCAAGATCAGCACGGGCTCGCAGGCGCTGGATGAGCTGCTGGGTGGCGGCGTGGAGACCAAGGCGGTGCGCCAGGCAGCCGCAGCCTGTGCCTGCCCTGGGAGGCTGCTGCGAGAGCACTTGAGCTGCGCCGCTGCCTCCCCCGCTGCCGCTGCTCTGCAGATCACAGAGGTGTTTGGCGAGTGGCGCACGGGCAAGACGCAGCTGGCTCTCACGATGTGCGTCACTTCGCAGATCGGCACCGAGAAGGGAGGTGGGTGGTGGGCGCTGGCGGCACTTGCTGGGCGGTGGGTTGCCCGACTGGCAGAGCCCTGTTATAGTGTTCGGCACAGGCCACAAACAGCTTCCCTCCAGCGCCCTTCAACCCAACGACTCGAGCTGTGCCGCTGCAGGAGAGGTGGTCGGCGCAGGCAAGGTGGCCTACATCGACACAGAGGGCTGCTTCGGGCAAGGCAGATTGATGCCCCACCATGGGTGCGGCACACCTGACCGCGCCCCTATTAGGGCGCCCCTATTCCAACCCGACCTGCATGTGCTGCCCGCGTTCCCCACCTGCAGGCCCGAGCGGATTCGCCCCATCGCGGAGCGCTTTGGGCTGGAGTCGGATGCTGTGTTGGACAACATCGTATGCGCGCGGGCCCACACTTGGGAGCAGCAGTTTGGTGAGCGGGTCTGAGGGCAGGGAGGCCAGCGGGCACACGCCCTGTACGGCTCTGCTCCTTCCCTGCTTTCAAGATGCAAATGTTGCGCCCAGCACGCCCTATCAATCCGTCAGGTGGTGCAGGTGCCTCCTCATCTCCTCTCGCCTGCTTCTGCCGCAGACTTGCTGGTTCCTGTGGCGGCCATGATGGCCGAGGAGCCCTTCAAGCTGCTCATCATGGTACGCTGACTACCTTGACAGCGCGGTAGCCGCGTCCCCCGCAGGCACAGCTTGTGCACCCCCCCCTCAGCCCTGTACCGCTCCTGCCCTGCAGGACAGCATCACCGCCAACTTGCGGGTGGACTTTTCCGGCCGCGGCGAGCTGGCGGAGCGCCAGCAGCGCCTGGGCCAGCTCATGCAGCGCCTGCGCAAGGTGGGGGCGGGGCTGTGGGTAGCGCTGGGCCACGGCGCGCTGCGTGGAGTGTAACGGCATGCACCCCAGTGGACAGCGCCTTTCATCAATGCTGCATTTCATGTGTTGTGCCTTGCCCTGCTGCTGCAGATGTCTGAGGAGTATAATGTGGCGGTGCTCATCACCAACCAGGTCATCTCGGACCCCTCGGGCGGCGCCATGTTTGTGGCAGATCCCAAGAAGCCGGGTGAGCTGCGTTGGAGGCCCCAGGCTGGGCACTTGTATACTCTCATGTCACACCTGCCCTCCTCATGGCTGCCTGGCCCTGGCCCCTCGCTGCTTTCGGCGCAGTGGGTGGCCACGTGCTGGCGCACGCCTCCACATTCCGCCTGTCCGTGCGCAAGGGCAAGGCGGAGCAGCGGCTGATGAAGGTGCCTCCTCGCCTCCCTGCTGGGTGCTGCTGTGTGGGCAGGAGTCCAAACTGGTGTGACCTCCTCCTGGTGTGACCTCCTCCCCTGCCGGGCCCCCGCTGCAGGTGGTGGACGCCCCCAACCTGCCCGAGGCGGAGGCCAGCTACATCATCGCCACTGACGGCATCAACGACTACAAGGACTGAGGGCACACGGCGTGGATGCTGCGGCAGCAGTGGACGCTGAAGGTGGCGGGCGCCCAGGCCCAGTCCTGGGGATGCATTGAGACGAGACACGTAACTTATCTGAACCATTTCCACACTGCTGCTTCTTTCTTCCGCATCGCACTGTAATGCTGGTAACATTTATTTATAACCACAGCGCGATACAAAGCAACAATGTGGTGCACTGCAACGGAAGTCCCAGGGCTACCGGGAGGCGGGGAGCGGCGGCTTGAACCCAATTGGCATAAAATACACAGTTCAACAGAACAGACTCCCATTCCCCGCACGAGCTTTCTCAGAAGTCATTGCAGGATGCCAGCATGGCCCACCGCGCCTCCTCATCGCTCTTGTTGCCCTTGCTGCTGTTGCAGAAGCGGTGCACCAGCTGGGCGTTGCCCTCTTCGCTGGGCCCGCCCTTAGAGAAAGGGATGATGTGATCCAGGTGTGCCTCTGCCAGGCTGTGGATCTTGCTGCCACAGAGTGCACACTGCAGTGTGGACGAGGGGTAAAGAGGGAATTGTGGCCGGCAGTTATGTGCCAGTACTGCACAGCACACTGATACCATGTGTTGCCCCCTGATGTGGCACCCTCCCGATTGGGCAACCCCCGCCCCCGCTCGCTCCTGGCAGCCCGCGCGGCGCTCCCCTCCCATACGTGAACTGACCCCATAGAGCCATGTTTGAGGGTTGAGCGGGGCGGAGCGGGGCTGCTTGCACACGTGATGGCATGCACGCTTCAACGCTCCCGCTGTCATCTCACCTCTCTAGCGTCAGAAATACAACTCTTACAAGCCAACCAACACGAACAGAGAGACCGAACAACAGAAATGAACAGGAAATATGAAGCCGCCACAGGCGGCAGCACCTTCCAGCGGAGACGGCAAAGCGTACAAGGCACACTTCTTCAATGGTTCGTGCAATTGCCACCCTTACCGGTTATACAGCCACAGTGCCGCCCACACCGCGCACCATTCTTCTTGCAGCTGCAGTTCCGGGTGCAGGCGCCGCGGCAGCCGCAGCGCACGGCTGCCTTGCCGCCGCCGGGCTGCGCCGCCATCGCCACATTGAGAGACACCACAGGCACTCCTCGCTGCGCCGTGCCGCTGAAGGTCAGCTCGCTGGCCAGGCTGGGTGGCGCCTTAGATAGCCTGCTGGCCTGATGCATACCCTCCACCACTCCAGCTCCGCTCCGCAGCCGGTACATGGTCACGCCAAAGGGCCGCTTGATCTCCACCACGCGGCACACGATGCGGTTGCGGCCCAGCTGCTTGCCCACTTTGCCGCGCTTCGGCGGCAGCAGCAGCACGTCATCGCCCACAGCAAAGTTC